GTAGTGTTACAGGAAAATAAAGGCAAATGTGTTTTACAAAACTTAAGCATCGTTTAGTTGCAAAAATGAAAAGATCTGTGTTGAGCTGTTTTAGTTATTGTCCCATTTCTTTAGCAGTGGCAAAGTTTGCAGATTTCAAGTCCTCGGTTAATGATTTTCACCAGCACTGGTGTCTGTGATTTGAGAGAGAGAGAGCATCTAATTTTTTTGCTGTTATTAGTTCATGTTGCTTTAATCCTCTTTTCTACTCAGAGGTTGCTGTTAATGCATTGCCTGGGCTTGTCAAATGATGTTAGGTCAGCAATGTACTTTTTAATAAAGTTATTATTAGTTCATGAAAATCTCAGTATTGAAGTCAAATGCTAGAAGGTGAATATTGATAGTGAAAACTGACTCTGATTGTAACACCATTCATATCTCCATACTGATTGCAAACTGTTATACATTTAGGTAATCAGCTCTGTTACCACATCTTAAATAATAGATCCTAACAATTTCCCTCTTCTCTGTCCTTCCCCAATTTTCTGTCCTTCCTTTCTGTAGGGGTTAGATTCAAGAATCTGGAGAATGCACTGCACTGGTTTTAATTATTCAGCATCGATTACTTTAACCAGAGTTAAAATGGTTTTGTGAAAGGGAAATAATGTTTGACAAATTTGCTACAGTTCCTTTTTTTTTTGAGGCTATAACAAGCAGAGATGATAAAGGGGAATCATTAATTGTAGTGTATTTAGAGTTTGTATTTCAATTAAGGTGCCACAGAAAGGTTATTGTGCAAGATAGGACCTCCAAAGTATTAGAGGAAATGTATCGATTATGGGTTGAGGATTGCTTAACACATAGAAGACAGAATCTGGATTGATGGGTCTTTTTCAGGTTGGAAAGATGTTACTAGTGGAGTGCCACAAGGATCAGTCCTAGGGCCTCAATTATTTACTCATCAATATTGAATATCTCGATGAGTAGTGTGTAATTATTCCAAACTTGCCAATGATACAAAAATAGGTGGCCATGCATGTTCTGATGGGGATGTTGTAAATCTGCAAAGGGATATAAATAATTTGAGTTAAATAGTTTCAAATTTGACAGATGGAGTTTAATGCTGGTAGGTGTGAGGTCATACACTTTGGTAGGAAGAATCAAAAAGCAGACTAGTATTTAAATGGAGCAAGACCCCCAAAACGTAGCACAGGGATTTGGGTGTTCTTGTATTTGAAACACAAAACGTTAGCATGCAGGTGCAGTGAGTTAAGAATGAAATGGAAATTTTGGCCTTCATTGCTAGGGGGTTGGAGTTTAAAAGTAGGGGTGTCTTGTTATAACTGAGCAAGGTTTGTGTACAGTTTTGTTCCTATACCTAAAGTATATACTGGCATTGGAAGTAGTTGAAAAGAGATTCACTATGCTGATTCCTGGGGTGAAGGGGTTGACTTATCAAATAGGTTAAATAGGTTTGGGATTTATTCATAGGGGATTGGAAAAATAAGGGATGATCTTATGGAAAGAAGATTAAAAATTTTGAGGAATCTTGACAGGACTGATGTTGAGATGAAGTTTCAACTCGTGGGCTGAGCTAGGGGTTATAGTTGCACTTATTTAAAAGTGAGCTGCAAATGACTTTCTTTTCTCAGAGGGTAGCAAATGTATCGAATTCTTTACTGCAGATAGTTTTGGAAGCTAAATGAGGGTATTTATAGAGGACTTGAGATAAGGGCTATGAAGAGTTAGCATGAAAGAGGAATTGAGGCTTGGGACAGATCAGCCATGATCTTGTTGAATGATGGGACAAATGTGAGTGGTTGAATTGCCTACTCCAGCTCTAATTTCTTTATGTTGTTACATACTCAATGTAACAGCCCCTGTTAACCTTTTAGCGTGTAGTCCATTGCATGTTGAATTTTAATCCCATAAATTTCTCCAATACTAATTATCCACTTTTACATTTTTTCTATAAGTTCTTCAATCTTGCTTGTCTCTTGGTACATTTTGCATTTGGTAATGTGTAGTGAGGCAGATTTAATGATCAGAGTAACAGATCCTTTAGGGTGTAGTGGTAGTAACATGGTAGAACTTAATTTCTCCTTCTCAAACTGAAAACTTTTTGGTTGGCAGCAACTGTGTTAAACTTTAAGTAAGGATAACTACTTTGGGCAGAGGGCAGAGGGTGGACTGTGAGAGGAGTTTAACAGAAGAGACAGTTGAGAAACAATGGCAGGCATTTAAGAAAACAGACCATGGCTCATAACAAAGATATATTACAGTGAGGAAGAAGCATCCTAGGAAGGGGATAAATCAACTATGGTTAACCCAGGGAAGTTAAGGATAGTTAAGGGGAAAAAAGTCATGTGGCAAAGATTAGTGGTAAACCAGAGTTTTAAGAAATTTTTAAAAGCCTACAAGAGATGACCAAAACCAAATTGAAGGGGGAGAAAATAAACTGAGGGTACACTGGCAAGCCATATAAAAATGGGCAATAAGAACTCCTGTTAAATGTATAAAAAGGAAGAGAGAGGCCAAAGTGAACATGGGGCCCTTAGAGAATGAGGCTGGAGAATTAATAATATGGAACAGTAAATGGCAAAGTAGATGAATAAATATTTTGTCTATCCTCCTGATAGAGGACATAAATAGTTTTATGGAAATACCAACTAACCAACGGACAAAATGGGAAGAGGAATTAAAGAATAATTGTCATTAGAGGAGAAAAAAGTACCGGGGAAACTAATAGAGCTCCAAGCCAATAAGTCACTAGGACCTCATGGGTTGCATCCTAGGATATTAAAAGGAGTAGCTACAAAGTAGTGGATGCATAAGGAGTAACATTCCAAAAATCCCTAGATTCTTAAAAGTCCCAAGGGCATGGAAAACTGCCTATTGACATCCTTAAACAAAAATGGAGAAAGAGAAAAGGAAGGGAACTATAGGACAATTAGCCATTGGGGAAATGCTAATGTCAATTATAAAAGATGTAATAGTAGATCATTTAGAAGTACATAATTATAATTAAGCAGAATCAGCATGGCTATGAAGTGGAAATCACATCTGACAAATTTATTGCAGTTCTTCCAGGTGTAGCAAGCAAGGTAGATAATTTGAATGAGTAGATTTCTAAAAGTATCTGGAGGAAAGGAGCAGTCAACGTTTTGGGTATTATTCTTCTTCAGGATAGTCCTGAAGAAGGGTAATACCAGAAATGTTGACTGTTCCTTTCCTCCAAATGTTGCCTGGCCTGCTGTGTTCTTCCAGCCTCCTGTTTATCTACCTTTTGGATTCCAGCATCTGCAGATTTTTTTGTCTCTAATCAAGATTTCCAAAAGCCACTTGATAAGGTACCCTACATAAGGCTACTTAAGATAAGAGCCTATGGTGCGATGATGTTGGCGTTAGTTATTCAGTCCACTTTTCATGCTAATGCACTAATAGAAGATAGAGAATTGGAGTAAAGGGGACATTTTCAGGTTGGCACCAGTAACTAGTGTGGTACCGCAACGGTCAGTGGGACTGTAATTATTTACAATATAAATTAATAACTTGAATAAAGAACGTGAGCGTACTATTGCCAATTTTGCAAATGATGGTAAAATAAGGGAGAAGGCAAGTAATGAGGATGACAGTGGGTTATAGACAGGTTAAGTGAATGGGCAAAAACTTTGGCAGGAAGAATAGAAGAGCTGAATATTATTTAAATAGGGGAAGCCTACAGAAAGCTATAGCACAGGGATTTGCATGAATTACGAGAGGCTAGCACCCTAGTTTACATAATAGGAAAGGAAAATGGATTGTTGATTCTTATTTCAAAGCGAATTGGGTAAAAAAAAAAAATAGGGAAGCCTTGGTGAAGATGTACAAGGTACTCATCAGGCCACAGCTGGAATACTGTGAACAGTTCTGGTCCCCTTATCAAAGGAAAGATATATTGGTATTGGCCGCAGTCCAAAGAGGGTTCACTAGGTTGATTCTGGGTGTGGAGGGATTTTCTACTGAAGAGAAGTTGAGTAGGTTGAGCTTGTACTCAGTGGAGTCTAGAAGAATGAGAAGAGACCTTATTAAAATAGATAAAATTCTTCAGGTGCTTGATGGGGTAAATGTGGAAAGATTGTTTCCCCAAATGGGAGAGTATAGGACCAGAGGTTGTAATCTCGGATTAACGGTCACCCATTTAAAATGAGATGAGGTGGAATCTTTTCTGAGGTTAGTGATTCTTTTGAATTCTTAATCACAGAGGGCTGTTGAAGCTGGGTTGTTAAATATACTTAAGGCTGACAGATTTCTAATCACTAAGGGAATCGGGAGTTTTGGGGATAAAGCAGGAAAGTGGAGCTGAAGATTATCAGATCAGCATGCTTTCATTAAATGGGGCAGGATTGATGGGCTAAATAGTTCACATCTCCTAAATCTTTTATGGATTTGAGTAAACATCTCTGCTCAAAGTTTCCCAGGCAGTCACCACGTTCTTTAGAGTCATGAAGAGCTTTTGGATCATCAGAGGCGCCTCTCATGCATCGAACTGTGCTACAGGAAGATGGGTCTGCATGAGGATGCTGAGACATGGCCTCTTGGACATCACCTCAGCATGCAGTAGGCCCAACAGCTAATGCTGTCCATGGCTTATTGCAAATTGTGGCATGGGACTTTCTGGTCTGGAAGTCATTTTTGATCATCAGCTACAACCCCTGCTGGAGTTTTGTTTTGTGCTGATTCTGTAATTGCAGTGCCCAATGAGGAGCTTGTGTCTGGAGAAAAAAACTCTAGTTGAGACTTGATTCATTCAAAACCCTAAACCCAATCACAGATCTAGAACATTTTGTGGGGTTTTTGTTTTTTGACAACATTTGCTTAAAATTAATTAAAGTAACTAAATTAATTAAAATTAATATTCGCCTTTCAGAAAACTACATACCACATTCAGGTCAGCAATCACTAAAATGCAAATTGTTTAAATGATTGATTTCTGTTTCTGTGAAATGTCAATAAATTACAGACTCAATATTTTGTTTCAGGGAAATCATCCTTCCGTTCATCCACGAGGTCCTCGGGTTACTGGTCTGATTCTTCACGCAACTTGGTGAAATCCTGTGCAGCCTCAACAACTGGAAAGCAAGGAGGCTCAGGTGAATGCTAAATACCCAAATATAAGGCCATATTCACTCAGAGCCTGGAGATGACTCCTGTTGTACAGGGGAAGAGTAAGACTGTCCAGGACAGAAATTGAATGGGAAGTAACAAGATCAGTTCCCTGCCGTTGGATAATGGCCAGATGGCACATTTGGGAATTGAAACATGCCGAGGATCCCTTAATATGTAATAATCCATCCACCATGGATTTCCCAGTTTTTGTCTCCTGACCATCAACTATTCAGGTCAAGGCTAGGTACTGGAGTCTAGGTCAATGCACTGCTGGAAGTTAGGCCCAAAGGTGTGTTCTAGACCATGAACAGGCCTATGTGAAGGATATTGCACAGTTTAACTTGGTCTTTTGATCAACGGGCTTAATTTCAGTCGGCCTTCAAATTTTACAACCTGTTTTGCTTACTTTCCATTGTGGAGTTGTGTACTCAACTTAACACAGTTAATCAGCTCCTTTAAGTTAATGACTTTATCCAATGTGGACTAGCAGGTCAGGGTGTAAGTCCACCAATAACGTACAAATCTTGTTCTGCTATAGTTTCGGAGCTGAGCAGGATTAAGAAGTTTTGGCCCATCTCTAATTGATTATAGTTAGTGTGAAAACAATTCAACCTTTTTGTAAAATAACTGACTGGTTCAGGTTGGGGTGCAATTGATTTATGATAAAGTGCAGATTGATTAACTCAGTTAGTTGGACAGCTGACTTGCTTTGCAGAATAATACCAACAGTGTGGATCCAATTCCTGCGCTGGCTAAGGTCATCTTGAAGGTCCTGCCTTCTCAACCATGCCGCTTGCCTGAAGGTTGGTGACCATTGGGTTAAACTTACCACTGCTCATCTCTTTCTAATGAGAGAGCAGCCTATGATTCTCTGGGACTATGCCACCTTTACTATAAAGTAATCCTAATCCACTTGTCAGATCAAAAGGAAATGGCAGAAAATGGTAGAAATATGAAATAAAAAGATAATATTATTTAAGTATACAGAACATCCAGTTGCTGTAAAGAGAAATGGTAAAGCAATTTTTGAAATCCACCTTCTAGGAACCCTCCAAGAGTACATCAGGAATTTGGATGTGTGTTTAATTTAAATGGAAAGCTGAAGGTTTGGTCAATGTCCACCAGCAGCTTGTATCAGGAAAATGCTTTCTGCTGAGATCTGACATAATAAAACTGTTCCTATAGGCCAGTGTTATCAGATGTGGGAACTTTGTTAGAATTACAAAAAGTTATATTATTTATAAGGTGTCAATAACAGCCCGATTTTGGCAGTCAGTGCAAAGCAAGGGGGCTTTACTGCAAACTTTGAGGTTGAGAAATTCACCTGTCTTTGTCATGAGAATATTAGCCCTCTCAATGTGCAGTTGATGGCACTGAGGCTCAGTAGGAACTCAGTGTCTGGCTGCAGTGATCTCATCAAGCTCTCTAAGCAGCCAAATATATTAGTTTTCATAGGCAGCAAATGAAAAACTCTTCAAAAAATGTTACATCAAGCAAAGTCAAACTAGCAACATTTCCCTGGGTGAAGATAAAAGCTGAAATATAGTGAAAAGACTTAAGACAGTAATCATAATGGTGATATTCAATACCCTTCCACTTTTGAGGCCAGATCAGCAGTAGCTGTTACCAGATCTGCATCAAAGATTCCATTGAACAAAGGTTAAATTGGTGTGGATTTTCAAACAGAGTGGAAAAGGAAACGTCAAATGATTTTACAGATTCTGGCTAAGTTTGTGTAGTGGGCAAAGAGAAGCATGTGGAGGGGTACTAAATAGCAAGTGGAACTTTGTTGCCACTCTTGGAAAGAGTAACATTTTAAAAACCATAAGAGAAATTTCTCAATGACTAATATATAGAATTCAAGTCAAGATTTCATGTTTTAAGACTTTTACTGTAAAACAGAAACTGAAAGCAACATCAACTAAACAAAATAAAAGCAAAATACTGCCCTTTGTTGGAAATCTGGGAAAGAAAAAACAGGAAGTGCTGCAGAAACTCAGCAGGTCTGGCAACATTCATGAAAATTGTTTCAAGTCTGACATGACTCTTCAGTTCTTTAGAATCGACCAAAACATTACTTAATAAGAAAGTAATAAACAACTGAAAAGGTATTCCTTGTTTACTACTTAACACCACTGAAAACTCCACTGTGCTTATGCACATCTACAAAAATGAACGACTTTGTATAAAATCTCAAGCTCCTCCTCACTTTATAACAGGATTTTTTCTCCCTGCCCAAACAGGGTGAATCTTTGTGTCCTTTTAAACAGCACCTCTCCACCCAATTTTGTCAGCAGAATCAGATGAACGTCTAGTCGCAACACATTCACTGGTGACACCTTGGTCTTTCACTCCTGATAAGCCTTGGCTCTTTGAATTGGGATTCCATCTTCACCCATCAACGTGCTTGGTCATCAACCCCCAAATTCTTCTTCTCCTCCTCCTCCTCTTGGCATAGCCATACATTTTTGAGGTCTACTTCCCCTATTCTTTGTCTGACCGACTGTGTTGGTGGCAGAACCAACTTTCACCTCCTTTCTGTCCAGATATTAAAATGTGCACCTTGCAGTAAGTTTTAATTTGAATTTCTACTTCTGTATCAAGCAGGTAATGTTCAAATCCTGGCAATTCTGTAGTCAGTCGGATCCCATCTCCAAACTATTGCATTTTGCTTTGAATTAAAAGTCACAATTTGCTGTCTGATTCAGAGGGCTGATGATGATGAGAGGTGGTGGTTTGCTGTGAAAACGCTTGCAAATTCCAAGCTATTGTTTAGAAGGATTGCACAGACCCCTGATTTTTTTTTTTCTAATCTATGCATTGCAGTAGACGGTCCATTAGAAGAAAGTGAGGCAACTGTTTCACTTCCTGGAAAACCATCACGTGATTCATCAGCCATGGGAAATTGGGAAACAGGTGAGAATGATCCACAACTTATACCGTAGCAGTTACAATTTTGTACACTCCTTTAAATGTATTTGAACCGTTATGAGACTGAAACCTTGTGCACTGAACTTTCATAACACTGTACTGTTTCCTGTAGAATGTAAGTATTCATGTATGGAGATTAGTACAGTGAATTCTCCCCTAAATTGCTCCTTGAACAGGTAAATACATTATCAAGAGAAGTGTTTCTAATTTCTCCCATAAAACTGCACCTGAATTCTCACCTTAAAAATCCTCACCAGTTCCTTTTTATGCTCATCACACGTCACTTCTTTCCCTTTTAATAGGGTCAAAAGTTTTTATTGTAAATGCCGCTTTCCCACAGTTGCCAGAACTAGTCCACACTAAATAATTGCTCCCACATAATGGGTAAGAGCTGCTGCAAACTATCTGTGTGGCAGGTACCACATTGAGGAAGCTGGTTTTTAAAATAAAAAGTCTTGAATTGGGGCATTACTGGCTAAGCTATTGCTGCTGCTACAAAAATCTCTTTGAATGGGGAGGCATTTGTTTCTCTTTATATTGGAAAAACTCAGCTTTTTAATTAACGACCTCTATGCCCACCTCAATGAAGGAGTTGGTGGGGAGGCTGTGGGGGAAAGGGAGATATGGGGATGGCGGGAGATGTGGAGGTGGAGCTAGATTTTGGGTCAGGGTGAAGCTGGGCGAAAGGTAGAGGAGGGGGAATATGTATGGGGCGGTGAAGGAGGGGGAAGATGCTAGGGGAGCAGGTGGGTAAAGAATTGGGAGATGTGGGAGGATGCAGTTGGGTGAAGTAAATGGTGATGTAGGATGGGGTGAAGGAGGTGAGGGACGTTGGGGATGGAGTTGTGTGAAGGAGGGGGAAGATGGCCATTCATCTGATTGTACCTTCACTTGACTTCAGTACTGTGAAATCATGATGATTCAAATATAGCTAACCCAAAACCAAGGTTGTGACAAAGATGTCAGCCATTCCTGCTGGCAGAATAGGAAATCCAATAGAAGTTTGAACATGATAAGCCGAAATTCTGAATTGAAGGTTATAACAACTATCAAATACTATACATAATAGTTTAAAAAAAATTAAAATATTATATATTTATATACTTGGTACATACAAATGGTGAGTAAACTAAAATATATTTTTCCTCTGGTTAGTGACTGACCTGTCAGGGGAAACCGATATCCAGTATCAAATCTCTTCTTGGAAACATCAGTTAAATCTGCCTTTAGTCTTCTCTGCTCTAAGGTCAACAGTCCGAACTTTCAACTTCACTAGTCTCCTCACAGAATGGAGATTCCTGAATCCTGGTAACATTCTCAGAAATTTCTGCAATACTCACTGTCGCATGAGGTGGTAGACGGAATGGAGCTATCAGCTGGTGCATGGCATGTGAGCAAATGCACTCCTTTGCTTTGGCTTACATCAAGTTTCTTGAATGTACTCCAGCTACATACATCCAGGCAGGCAGAGAGCATTGAAGTACCTTTTTTTTAAAGGCTGAGAGAAAGTTTAAAAGGAGTTACATTTTTCTTGCGATGTTTAGAGAAATGGATAATATAAGAATTTGGGTCCATGACCAAATATTCAACAGTGCTGCAGAACTTGGATGAAGAAGTCTAATCAATTTTTGAAGCTGACTCAGGAAGTGGAGATGCACTGATACGGCTTTTATTTCCCAAAAGAAAAATGCTGCATCTGCTGAAAAGCTGAACAAAGCAGAACACCCAGATGTACTCACCAAGTAAGGTAGCATGTGGTGGGAGGAGTTAGTATTTCAAGCTGATTACTTTGATCAGAGCCTGCTTTTTTTTTGTCTGTGGGGATAGACCCTAAGGCTTGCTTAGAAGCATGTCTTGAATTAAATTTGTCCTGTGCAGAGGTAAAGGTGACAAACTGAAAGAAATGCATTTATATTGAATGTTGAAAATGGTGGAAACTTGAAACTGCTGGGGAGTCCTGAGTATGAGGAATTGGACTTAATAGAGCTGCAACTGCACCACTGTAGGAGGAGAAAGGTGCAGACAACACCCTCTTGCAAGTTCTTTCCTGCATCCTTGTCACATTCTCCCCAGTTTGTGGAACACTTTTCCACAGCAACCAACCGCATTGAAACTATGCTGAACTTGCTATATATAGCAAAACATTCACACCGTGTTCAAAAGTACTAATGCATAAAAATGTTGGCTTATTTGAAGTAAAGCAATTGTTTTAACTTGAAGTATCCATTCCACCTTCATGGATTTGTTACAGTATCATTTCAGCATGGGTGGATGTGGTTCAGAAATGGTGTGGTTTTTCATAAAATTCCTAATGAGGGTCAACCAAGTAGTAAGATTTGGAAAATGAATGATTACCTCCAATCCAATGTCCATCTTTGCCAAAAAAATGATGTTTTTTCAATGTTAAAGGATTGTCATGAGACACATTAGTAATGATAAACGTATAACCTTGTGACAGTTTAAATCTTCTGCAAATGATTTTGTCACATCCCTTACCGCTTCATCTAAGCTTCAAATAAAGATTGGATTTGCTGCCTTTAATTGTAACATTTTGCTGGGGTCTTAGCTTGGCCAATTTTTTTTCACAGATCTTATTTTAGCAGTAAATTCATTGATTGGGCGAGGAAGAGAAAAATTCAGGCAAAAGCAAACTCTCTATCTCTTTATTGATGGAATCTAGCACAGCATAAGGAAGACTGCAGGGAGGTCCTTTCTGCAGACTACCATTTCGTTCAAGTCCATGTGTAATGCCGAAAGAAAAGAAAGGGAAATCAAAATATTTTCTTTTTTTAAAAAAAAAAATAAGACCAAGATCCCTTTTATAGGGTTGTGGGTACTGATGATCTCTATTCCTGACAGTTAGAGAAATCTGGTGGCAAGACAAGGTCACATTACAATGTGTAGCTCTAACAGGAAACAATTAGTAGGAATTGATAAATGCAGATAAGAATTACAAATGTAAAATGGTAGTTACTGGTAATGTAAGTACAAACTTCTTGTGCATATATAAAGTGCAGTAACTTTTGTAAATTCCTTGTCTATGTTTCCTTGATAGATATTTCACTGAAACTGATAATGAAACGACAAACAACAGGGCTTCCTGACATTCGGCTGCAGGACCTGCTGAGAGCAAAGCTGCGCATTCTAGAGAATGACTGTGGAGAGGTCATAGCACTCCTTAGTGTAAGTGAGAGTACAGAACATTTGCTTCTCTGCTGCACATCAAGTGTAGTAAAAATGAACAGGAATGGAAAATGTGTTCTGTTCGGTTGTCTATTCCCACTATGGAAACACAGAATTTTCTGGGGAGTCCCAAATGGGCAATAATTGAGCATGCCTCTGCCATTGGCACAGGCCCAGCATTATTAGTAAAATTAGAGGAATGTTTCTGATTCTCCTGTCTAAACTTTCAAAATACCCTTTCTGGGTTTCCCAGACTCTGGCTCTCCAAAAATCTTGTGCTAAAATCCCTAGAGATCCTTGAGTACTGTGATCCTTTGAGTGTGGATTAGGAATGACTGAACTTGCAAGTAACATCACTTTGTTACCTCTTGTAGTTTTTGAGGTGGGTCTTTAAACTTTGGGGTTACCAGTTGCCATTGGGGCAGTAAATTACAATCTCATTAATCAAAATAAAAGAAACTACTCTGGATGCTGGAAATCTGAAAGTTCCCAGTCCTGAAATGTTTTCTGTTTGTCTCTCCATGGATGCTGTCTAACCACTGTATTTTCTAAATTTCTGTTTCTAATTCACCATACAACATTGCTTTTCTCCATTTACTTTTAGCTAAGCAACCATCACTCTGACATTTTCCCAGCGACATACTCATTCCTCACCGTAGTGCTGTTTCTCCATTTCTGCTCTGTTTGTCCTTTTGCAATCACGCTTCTGATAATGTCTTCAATTTTCCTCAATTGAGGATTGTCTCCCAACATTCCCCCCAACCACCTAGCAATTCTGCTTTCATCTCTTTCCCCCAACCCAGAGAATCATGTTAACATTCCCTTTCTCACCTTCTGCCCTACCAGCCTCTGTCTTCAATCATCATCCACAACCAACACCAGTGAGATGCTACCAGCAAACGCATCTTCCCCTATTTCATTATTTTGAAATAACCATTACTTCTGCTACACCCTTTTCACATCCTTTCCTATGGCACTTTTTCAAGGCAACTTCTGTTAAAATATCTTCTCCATCTTTCAATCCAAAGCCAAAAACAGTCCTTCCCAATTAAACAGCAATTTACTTGTCCTCCTTTCAATTTAAGACACTATTTTCACTACTTGTGATGTGCTCTCCTGTACAGTGTGGAGAACTAACACAGACTGTGTGATTGCTTAATTTGGGGGGAAAAAAAGACTGCTTTGTGGAACACCTCTATTCAATCCACAAGCGTGACCTATTGCTTATCATTTTAATTACGTACTTTTGTTTCTGTTCTAATTTTTCTATCAGTGTCCTGCTTTAGTTCCAGTGAAGATCAATGCAAACTTGACTAACAACAGCATCTGTTTCAACTGGACATTCTGTATAGCCTTCTAGACTAAACACTATTTTCAACGTTTTATTTCATAACCTCTGGCTCCATTTTCTTTTCCCACCGTGTTTTTGGTTTGGTTGGATCTCGTCTGGTTTCTTTCCTTATCCCTCCGTGTAGCATTTACATGGCTACACTGCAGGCAAACCTCATCTGAACCATTCTTTTCATTTTTCACATACTCATTGCTGCTGTTTGTGGCTTTTGCAGCATCATGTCTCTCGCCATTTAATCCCTCCTACCCTTGATTCTATCCCAGGCCATCCCTTTTGTTCTTCCCTCTGCTTTCATCTCAAACCTATGACATTTGTATCTTTGGTTCTCATGAAAGGTCATCCCAATCAGATATGTTGGGCTGGATATTACAAGGCCCATCAGGTTTGTTTTCGGGCATGGGTACATGTGAAATAGTTTGGATGGTTAGCACATTACTTTCTACCCAGCCCTAAGCTTACCCCACAATACAGAGCATGGGTGGGTGTCAAATTCAGCAGTCTTTCAGCCTAATGGGAAGAAGTAATTAAGGGTCAAATTAGTTTATTAAAAGTTTGGCTGACCTCATTATTGCTGTGCCTTTCAGCAACCTTTTTTTATTTTTGCTTTATTGCTTTTAACATGATGTGAAGGGAGGATACAATCTTTGGCTGAACTTTTGTTGGGGATGCTCTCAATGCAGACAGAATCCAGTTTTTATATCTGTTTATCCTTTAAAAGCCTGCTCCTTTCTCACTCACATGTGCTGTAAGGTGGTTATATGTTCCACACCTGATACTCCTGACTTCTTCACTATGGCATTCATCAGGCCCCCTTTGTGGGCCAGCCTGCAGTCTCAGCAGTGCCATCTACTGAGCTCTGTCACTGCCAACACTGTTGGTGTTGCTGACTAATCAAATTGGGTGGCAGTTCCAGAGGCTGGGACTTCTTCTTGCCCAGTCTCTCCTATAGTGGACAGTGAAGAAGGTTATTTGAGTGCAATGGGATCCTGAGCAACTGGGCCAATGGGCTGAGGAGTGGTGGATGAAGTTCAGTTTAGATAAATGCGAGGTCGTGCATTTTGGTAAGATGAATAAGGGCAGGACTTGTATGGTCAATGGTAGGGCTCTGGGCAGTGTTGTCAAACAAAGTCCTGGAAGTTCAGGTACATAGTTCCTTGAAATTTGCATCACAGGTAGATAGGGTGGTGAAGAAGACATTTGGTACGCTTTCCCTTATTGGTCAGAGCAATGAGTATAGGAATTGGGATGTCATGTTGCACTGTACCGGATGTTGGTGAGGCCGCTTTCGGGGTACTGTGACAGTTCTGGTTGCCCTGCTATAGGAAGTCTGTTATTTAAGTTGGAAAAGGTGCAGAAAAGATTTAAAAGAATGTCACCGGGACTGGAAAGTTTGAGTTGTAAGGAGAGGCTGGATAGACTAGAACATTTTTTTTCACTGGAGCATAGGAGGTTAGGGGTGAACTTACAGAAGTTTGTAAAATCATGAACGGCATAGATAAGGTGAATAGCAAAGGCCTTTTCCCTATGGTAGGGGTGTTCAAAACTAGACTGCATAATTTTCAGGTGAGTGGAGAAAGATTTAAAAGGGACCTGAGGGGTAACTTTTTCATAGTGGATGTGGAATGAACTGCCAGAGGAAGTGGTAGATGCAAATACAATTACAACATTCGAAAGATATTTTGGACAGGTACATGAATAGGAAAGGTTTAGAGGGATATGGGCCAAATACCAGCAAGTGGGACTAGTTTAGTTTGGGAAACCTGGTTGGCATGGACGAGTTGGACCTGGTTCTGTGCTGAATGAATCTGTGACTCGGTGACTCTATGACTTACAGTATGTTAAGGCTACAGAACAGGTTTTCTGTTCATTGGCATGCTGCAGCCTTTCTTTGTGATCCTACCCCTGCCCTTAAATCTTTGCCCATTACTTTGTTTCTCCCTAGAAATGCTGCTTGACCAGTGCTTTCCAGGATTTTGTTTTAAAGTACATTTTCAGCATTTGTAATTTTACTTTTGTGATTGTGCAGTTAATGATGTGGAAATGGATATTAAAAAATGCTCTTTTATGATCTATCAAATAATAGAATTATTGGGGAAAGTTTAAGAAAAAAGTGTGATTTAAAAGAACAGTGATTATGGATATGAAATGGCTAAGGGACAAAAACAAAGATTAGTGATGAACAGAGATAGTAGGAACTGCAGATGCTGGAGAATCCGAGACAACAAGGTGCAGGGCTGGATGAACACAGCAGGCCAAGCAGCATCATAGGAGCAGAGAG